GCTTGGTGCCGTTATGCACTCTGTGATACTTCGGTCTGTCCATGGCTTGGTGCTGTGGGTCCACATTGTTCCTTGTCCACCCATAGCCTTTTTGCCCAACATGTTATAACCTTCGAGTATTTCCTTCACAATGGTGTGGTGGTGTTTTCTATGACCAAAGTATTGTATTTCTCTACTGTTCATTTTCTTATGTAGGGTTTATCTTGTGTGGAAAATCTAATACTCCTTTTTGTTTGCCTCTTTTGCTTCCCAGTTAATGCCGCCATCCTATTTGTGAGGCAGCGTGGTGGAATCAGGCTCTCGTCAAAATAATCAAAGTGTAGAAACTTGTATATTTCCGCTGGTTTGTGAATTTTTATCAAATTTTTGTTGTTTTTTTTGCTCAACACCTTTCACGCCAATTAAAAAACTCATTTCTGTGTAGATTTTCTGAAAAACGTTGATTAAAGGGAAAAAAAAGAAGTCAATTTTCAGTTACCATGGACTCTTAAGCTAAGGAAATAACTAATCTTTGGAGGCCATTTTCTCACTAATTTTACCTCTGAAAACAGGTGACCCTCACATCCTTCTTAGGCAAATATCTTGACTTGTATTCAAGACAAATGGATATTTTTTTCATCTAAATAAAGACAAGTGAACAAGCTTTAAGATGATACCAATGACTTTACATGCCCCAATATTGACGAGAGCCTGATTCCACCACGCTGCCTCACATTTTAACTCCACCTCTCAAAGGGAGCCATTTTCTTCTTTTTTTTTTCTTATTTCTTTGTTAAGCGCTACATAGGGACATGTGAAAGGTGCAGCACTCGAACCAGAAATAATCCCCTGGATGAAAATAGTTTGAGCATTTGACTGAATCGAGTTTATACATTTGCTGTTCTTATATTTATTTCGTTTTTACTTCTGCAATTGTCTGTGGTTGTTGCCCTTAGACATTTGAATTTAATATTTGTTCGATTCTCTTTCCTTCTATGATTACGTATATGTGAAGCAGCGTAGTGGAAACAGTCTCTCGTCAATTTTTGAGCATGTCGAGTTATTTGTATCATCTTACGGCTTGTTCAATTGTCTTTATTTGTATGAAAAAATATCCATTTATCTTGAATGCAAGTCGAGATATTTGTGAATGAAGGAGGTGGGAGTCACCTGTTTTCAGAGGTAAAATTAGTGAGAGAGAAAATGGCCGCCAAAGATTTGTTATTTCTTTAGATTATAAGTCCTCGGCAACTGAAAATGTACATTTTTTGTGCCTTTAATCAACGTTTTTCAGAAAAATACACACAGAAATGAGTTCTTTATTGGGTTTGAAAGGTATTGAGCCAAAAAACAAAAATTTGATACAAATTCACAAACATGCGGAAAAATGCAGGTTTATTCATTTTGATTGTTTTGACCAGAGCCTGATTCCACCATGCTGCCTCACATAATATTGTTTTGTAAGTCTGAGTTGAAATGACCATTATTTTTTTGTTCTCAGCGTTCATGTCGAGGCTTACGTTACTGTTGCTCTCGTTTACTAATTTCACAATCATAGAGATTTTTATTTGTGTTTGTAAGCATAACTGTATCATCTGCGTACCTCATAATATTACTCCAGGCTCTTTTCCACTATGATCTTCAGTGTTGAAATCTGGTCCGTGGTTGACCGGTTTTTTCGAAAACTGTCTGTTAATCCCGAATTCTTGGATCCGATGCAGACTTGTTTCTCCAGAATGATTCTGTTGAAGACCTTCCCTGATATGTTTGGTTGGGGTTTTTCAAAGTTTTTTTGTTTGTTTTGTTTTGTTTTGGGTTGTTATTTTTGTTGTTTTTTTTTGTTTGTTGTTTTTTTGTTGTTGTTTTTTGTGTGTGTCTTTTTTTTTTTTTTTGGGGGGGGGGGGTTGCTAGCTTTAAAAGAATATCCAGTTTTATGGTAGCTTTTGCAATTAGGGGATTGTTGTCAGAGTTGATGTCAGCTCCAGGGAATGGTTTCATATTGTTTTATCAATCTTTTGTATTATCATGATGTAATTCAGTTGATGTCTGTGAACATCTCTATAGCTTTTCATGATATAGTCTTCGTGCTGGTAAATGAAAGAAGGTGTTTACTATCAATAGATTCTTTTTGTCACAAAAGTTGAAGTCTTTCATCTCTTTTGTTGCATTCTCTTAGCCCGTAGCTCCCTGTGATGTCTTGGTATAGTCCCTATCCCACTCTAGCATTTAGGTCTCACATTATTACAAGCACTTCATAAGGTGTTTTTTTCTTTTAGGATCTTGTCTATTTAATTCGATCTTTTCATCTTCGACCGCGCCAACTTGGTAGGACTAAATTGGGACTGAAGTCAGAGGAAGATAGGGTTAACGCTAACATCATTTTAAAAAACAACAACAATCAAATAACAGAAGCATGTTTTCTTATAATTATAAACGTAAGCACCATCCCACATCATCACTTACCACCACCATCACCGTCATTTCTAAGTACGTACATCATTGCTCTCAGATCCTTCATAAACATCTATAATTATCTTAAACATCTATATGTAACAGTTATATGTCATAACAATTTTGTACGTTATACATTATTGGGCTCTCTCATACGCACATTTTTCTACTAATCAGATGGCGTCAATATCATAGAAATGGGAAAGGGACCCAAAAAAAAATGTTAAAAAAAATATTTTAAAAAATTGGGACTGAATTCACTGCTGACATAGTATCCGAGATCTTGAGCATGCGATGCTCAAGGGTCAGAAAGCTGTCGGTTTCTTCGATTCCATTGTTTCGGCGAGCGCCTGACTTCACAACGATGCAATCACAATACGTGTGTGTGTTTGTGTGTGTGGGGGGGGGGGGGGTGTTTATAATGTGTATGGATTATAAAATTTACATGCATGTATTATAAGAGTAGAGATATAATATAGATCTAGATTTAGTAAGCATTTTAAGGCAGTTGTAAGGCAATAAGGTCATAGATTAGAGGTGTTATAGGCGCTCATATGACCTTATGCAGTTCAAAGCGCCGTAAAACCTCTACATAATGATAATAAGAGGTGTTACGAGAAAGGAACAAATACACAAAAGAAGGAGGAGAGATGAGAACGATAGATGTTTGATAGGAAACAAGAAACAATCAAACCAGAGCGCCCACAAAGCACCTGTACCAGTAGTGATAAATAGATAGACAGATAAACGCACAGACCGGTAGACTGGCATAAACAGACAGACAAACACACTGGCAAACACAGACAGACCGAGAAAAAAAGGAAAATACTGGTTTTGAAAATTAATTCTAAAATTCCCTGAAACCCCCAGACAAAACTGTTAACAAATCACAAAGGACAAAGTGAACATAAAACACACCTGTGGGATAGAAAGTCTTTATTCACAGAATGGCTGGTCCTTAAAGACCTTGGTCACATTTCCTCAACACATTCGGTAGTCACAATCCCACCATTTCCAGACCATTAAATTTTGATTAGCTGACAAGTAAGAATTGTATAACCAAGTTACTTTTTTAAAGGAAGTTTATGGCTCTTTTATATAGCCTGATTTCTTTGATATAGTACAAAGGGGAACGTTAAATGTAAAGATTTATATCAGACAAATAAAACTCTAAATGTCGAGTGCTAGATCAATGAGTTACACGCGGACATCAATTATTAACTTCGGAAAAAATACGTGAGACAAAAAGTTATCTTTCTGTACAGAATTATTATATTTTCCTTCCTAGAAATACAGACGATTCAGACCATTGATGTTCATGACATAACGATAATTGAACTCTACTTTGATCAGTCTTGAGAACAAAATTACATGAGTTTCATTGCATTGAAAATATTGATTGTAAATGAATGTTGGTTCTTCTAATAAAAGATATTTTTAAAAAGAATTTTCCCAGTGCTTAAACGTTTTAAGAAAGAGAGAATGCCATTTATGATACATCCCTTCCTTTTAAAAATGCTAATGTGTTCTCCTTTATAAATGTAATCATAATATAGGTGTTGTAAACAATGTGGGCGAAGACACTGTGCTTTGTTCCACAATACGAACAGTTCTTTCAGAACAATATCCTCCCCTCCTTTTTGTGTGCAATGCACGTCACTCTAAAAATATGGTTATGTATGAATAAGTAATACATAATATTTCATTACTGTCCTCATTGACGACTCCCGCCCCCCCCCCCCCCCCCCCCAACTTCGAAAGAGAAGTTAACCATGTTTTACTGAGCAATCTGATACACGCTAATTCAATGCATTCAGTTTTTCATATCGAAAAGAGAAAAGAGAAATACCCTTCACTGTGCAAATTCAATGTTTGTGATTATGGAATTCTTCAAGATTTCTGAGTAGGATCGAGTTAACAGGAAGCTCCTTTTTAGGCTGTAGAATACAACTTTTTCAAGGAAAGAGGTATATAACATTTCGAGATATTATGCACTTATGTTCTCTCTTTGGGCAGATAGGTGAATGGACAGATGGACACATAAAAGGTTTAATCGATAGATGTGTTAATTCATGCGTTCATGCTCTCAGGCATTCAAGTGATATATGATTTTTTTAAAATCAGTTTTGTCTGCATTTATTCATGCATTAACGCACGTATCGATTCAACCGTCTATCTATTCATAGATCCATTCCTATGTGTCCATTACCCTCCCGTTCGCCCAGCCATCCATCTACAAACACTTCACGCACACAGCTGCTGAGTTATCAATCACAACAACATGTATCCATAGGAAATAACGTAAACAAAATTGAAGTACAAGCAGGCAGGTGCATACTCGGGTGAGACTTACTCAAATAACCGTATCTGTATGACGTGTTTGTATATATGTGTGTGTGTGTGTGTGTGTGTGTGTGTGTGTTTATGTATGTGTGTGTGTGTTTGTGTGTGTGTGTGTGTGTGTGAGAGAGAGAGAGAGAGAGAGAGAGAAATAGAGAGAGAGAGAGCATGTGCGTGTCTGTATGTATGTGTGTGTGTGTGTGTGTGTGTGTGTGTATGTGTGTGTGTGTGTGTGTGTGTGTGCGTGCGTGTGTGTGAGTATCTGTGTGTGTGTGAGTGTGTGTGTGAGTGTCTCTCTGTTACAGCGAGAATGGCATTTTTAGCATAACTTTCTGTCTGCATCTTTCACTCTGCGTATAATCAATCGTCTGTTTGTCCGTTGGTCCGTCAGTCTGTTCAACCAGTAGATGAAAACGTCAGTGTTAGTGTGCGCGCGGTGCCCACCTCAACCCGGCAGACACCGTAAATGCACTAGGTCAGAGAGCACTTGTCTGAGGTATTTGGAGAAGTTTTTACTGATGATCACGAAGATCCAGAACTTGATGGCGTGATGGAGATAGCTAACATACTGAAGGCTCAACTGGATAAACGCTTCGGAGTACGTCAAGATGGTGTTCCCACTCTCTAGCTGGCGAATCAGATAGTAGAGCCGTGACACGTGACTGGGCGCGTTCATCACGATATACGAGACAGACAGCGCCAGCAGCATCTTAGCAACCCTGACCCTAGGGCTTTTCCTCGTCACTTGCTTCCTTGTTTCCCCAACCGTCCGCAGCTTGCCTCCGTCCAACATGGGCAGCGAGCTCAGACGTTTCCGCCAGCGCGTAGAGCGCAGGATGGACAACGCGATGGGCAGCAGCATCCCGGATATGGCGAGGAGTGGGATGAGCAGAGTAACCACCGAGTCTATGTAGGTCAAGGCCTGGAGAACCTCCATAAGCTCGTCCCGCTGGGAGCAGTGCCAGATTCCTGGTGGCTCGATATACGCGACCTCGGTGGCGAAGGCCGTGACGGCGTACAGAGACAGGGACAGCACTAGGATGGCGCTCACCACGGTCACCGCCCGTTTGCGCGTGCACATGACCCGGAACTGGGTGGGCTGACATATGGTGATGTAGTTCTCCACCGTCACACACACGACGTACCACACGGACAGGAAGCTGAACACGTAGGTGAAGAACACCAGAGCCTGGGGGAGGGACAGAAATACCTTGTTAGCGCCCAAACAACCATGGTGATGAGTGTGTGTAGGAGGTTATTAACACTGTCACCATTATCTTTTTTTATAAGAGGTTGAAGAAGAAGAAGAAGAAGAAGAAGAAGAAGAAGAAT